ATCTGTATTATTTATTACTCTCGGGTTTCGAGTGTCATTGGTCCACAAATTGCATTAAAACGTTATTTGAATATTATTTCCCAAGAAAAGCACTATTGATACGATAAAGAACATGAGACAACCAAAAAGCTAATATAAAAATTAAGTAACACCTAATAGCGGAGCTCCAATAGCAGTATAGAACTAGAAGAGTGATTATCTAGGGGTACTTTCCATTTAGGCAGAACTGGCCAGCCAGTCCACTTTATTTGAGGTATATAATGCTTTTTGTCAACCATTTTCAGTCATTTCGAGGTTTTCTGTAGAATAATGGATAGAATTTGAAAATTTGAATTTCCTAACTAAATGGGAATGATATATAATGACATTTTCTCTGAGTCTGGCCAGCCAGTTCTGACAAATGGAAAGCGCACTAGTTTACCGCTAGTTCCCACCATTGTGAGTTTTTATCTTTGGTTTGGTATGCTTGTATCTTTTTGTGCATGGATTTTTGGTTTCTTTCTTGTTTCTGAAGTTTTTGAATGCTTTCAGCAYCGARCGCTGACCTGCTGACTGATACATTCAGGAGTAATTATTCTAAGAAAATTATACTTGATTCACTATATTAAAATCAATCTTCTACAGCAACATTGGTTGAAAACAAAGACACTATCAGTTCTTATGATTACAAAGTTTCTCCAGAATCATGTAAGTTGTAGTAGCATGTAAAACAGCAATTTAGTATTTCSGGTGCCCGGTCACGGTCGTTGATGTGATCGTGTGGGATACCTGTGGCATGGCCGATTCTAAAAAGGTATCGATTTAATAAAATTGTTCTCGACGATAAAAATGTTAACTAATACACACGAACGTATTCTGATAAAGTGTTAAATTAACTTATTTGTATTATATAAACTAGTTCTACATCTACATCTACATCTACGTTTATTAGTCTCAAAAAGGGGGACCATCACTATGAGACATAAAATAATCAATGATACAAATTATGATAACAATATATAGATATATAGATATATTTAAAATACAGCTGTTTGCAATAATTCTGACCCCCCTACACTAATATTCATATATATCAAAATAGCCTTAGAAATTATGGGATACCATTGCTGATATTTTTTTTTAGAAAGTACTCATTCTGGACAACTCAAAAAATATATCAGTCATGATATCCCATAATATTAAAGGTCAGTTTGATATATATGAAATATGGCAGAGGGGGTCAGAATTATTGCAAACAGCTGTACATGTACAGCAATATGCAGAAATTATGATCATTTTTACTCATATTTCAAGTATATATAAAACATATCAGAAATTATGTGATATCTTCGCTGACATTTTTTTGAAGTTGCCTAGAACTGGCACTTTCTGAAAAAAATATTGGCGATGACATCCCATAATTTCTGATATATTTTATATATTCTTGGAATATGGGTCAAAACGATCKTAATATCTGCATACAGCCTTTTGCAAAAATTATGAGAATTGTCTAAATATCTAAATATCATAATATCCATATCCATATATTGTCCGGAACACGCGAGTTTGCTAGAATAATTCATTGTTGACATCGAGAAAATGTTCAGAACTACGGATAAGTACGTCGCCAAAAAAAAACTAAACAACAAAGACAAGGGACTAAGGGCATCGCGCGGGATCATGCACTTGATATTATGATATTTAGATATTTCAGCAATTCTCATAATTTTTGCAAAAGGCTGTATTGCTGTAAATAAAATATATATATATATACGATGATACATTAAAATAATAATAATAATAATGAAAAAGAATAATTTATACTCGTTCGTTCTGCTCCGTCATCCGCCAAAAACTGTATGGATACGTAGACTTGCATTTAGAAAGAAAGTAGGAGAAAATGTTGGTTCGTGACAATTCTCCGATCATGACCTGGCAGGCAAATAGTACCATGTTCATGTCATCTTTATGTTGTTCAATAATCCGTGAAACTACAAAAGGGCTAAATAGTAATTATGCTAATTCCTCTCCTATTGTCAAATTAATTAGCTAGTTTTTTTCACGGATTTAGGGACTGAGCAATAATTACCAGGATGGGGGGGGGGGGGCATTACATAAAATTGATGGCAAGATAGGGGGCTCAAATTAAAATTACCTAATTAACAGAGAGGGGGCCCTAAGTTTTATTCATAATTTTCGATGTCTCTCAAAATGCTGGAAATCGCATTTCCAAGAGTTATTTCTTTCAAATTTTGAAAAAGTTTTTCAGGGAGGACCAGACTCCCTTAATACTTCCGCCTTTGGCGTTCGTTAGACCCCCAGATCCAAAATATATGTCGCYGTCCCTGACATGTGCATAAAAAGTCCACGCTACGCGCCTGACTAATAGAAATCMAAATTTAAAGACTCGTTGATGTGAGATTGAAATTGACCAAGATATGAATTTTTTTTTCAACTATTGATTTTTTCAATTTCGTCACYTAAATTGAGGATGTAGTTTTCACATAAAGATGTAGAAGCTGAAAAACATATTGATGATTAATTATTAGACATAACAAGGTAAGAGCTATTTTCTTGTGCTTCGGAGGGGGGGGTTCTAATTTTCTGCTTAAGAAATTTGGTTATACGCCCCCCCCCCCTTCCTGGTAATTGTTGCACAGTCCCTTAGTTAATCTCTTAGAGCAGAAATCTCTTCAAGGAAGAAATAATGGTGGACTTCACTCACACGCAAATAGGATCAGCAATAATGTCTCAAGTGTACAGACTGAGCGATCACATATGTTTCATGTGACAGTAAAAAAACTTATTATTACTGTTTGACGTACAAGGTCAACCAGCCAGTGTCAGAGTTTTGAGTTTSACTTATCATTTTGGATATAGGATTGGGAGATAATTTACTTCATATTTGTAGTATTAAGGGGCAGTATTCGGTTTCACCCTCAAGATTCAGCTTTCAAAACAAGACGTCCAACCCTCGTTTCCAGGCTTTCTGGGTTTCGCTGTGCCTCCGATAAACGGCGTCTTGAGCAAATAAATTTGAAAACCCAATGAAATATGGCTTTTGCAATTGTACCACCAATTGTACTATTATTGTAATTTCTTAATACTTCTTTTGGAATAGTCGGTAGCTTTTATTATCTATTATCATCTATTTTAACTATCATGTGAAAAGGACCTGGGTACGAGGTGGATAACGTCCATACATCACATAGAGTGGCTATAGACCTAGTAATAAGGCAAACAATTACCAAATTGAACTTGTGTTGCAAAGGATTTGTAAGTATTCTAATAATATACCTTGCATGTTTTTATCAGCCTGCGATAGAAGTAAGTTCACGTGTGACATGGGAGCGAAATGTCTGCCGCTTACATGGTTATGTGACAGTATTGATGACTGTGTTGACAAAAGAGACGAACATAACTGTCCAGCTAAAAAACAAGGTACTGTAAAACCCCGAGCAATCCCGTATTTATTACAGGAGTTCCAGTTAATATCGCTATGATAATAACCCTCACATTTGCAAATTTACAACATAGATATACAAACTATAAATTAATACTATTATTACCCTGAAGCAACCTCCACAATCTTTATAGCTATCTCACAACTTAACATATGTATTTTTGATTGTTTGATATTTTATGCTGATAATTGAAAACGAAATGCAGATAACGAGATTCACGCGACCTAAATGTGGAGCGGGAGAATACTCAAATGATGAAAGAAATAAAAGCGAAAGCGATGCAGGTTCATCAAACACGATTTATACATCGTTTTGAATGTTATCTGATAAAAACTCGTTGACTTTAAGGCTTACCATGCATCCATCGAATTTTTCTGAACGAATTTTACTAAAATACCAAAATGTTTACCTCATTACAACTCTTCTTGACATCTTGAAATTGATTAGACTATTTTTTTGGTTCAACGAAATTGACAGACCTGAACTGCGAGCAAATATACAGTACATAAATGCAGACGCGTTACGCACTGATATATCACTTGGACCATTCTCAGTAAAATACAATTATTGACAATGCTTTTGTTTGAAACTTGTTGTCACCAAAGGGGCGAAACTCAGTGGCTCCGCTCGACTATGGTCATTAGCACTATAATAGAACTTGTTTATAAAACAATTACATTTGCCATAATTGTAATGAAAGTATCTAAAAAAACGACGTTATTGACATACAAAAACGACATTGGCATTATTATTTTGGCTTCCAGAATGAAAGTATTATCAAAACTCATTCAAATCAGTCTTGAATTCCCGAAGACGGATAAAACATCACTAACGTATTGTAATATCGATACATATAAACATATATCATATTTGTTTATTTGCTTTTTATCTTTATTTACTTTTTTGTTACAGGAATTCCGCTTGCCAAAGCTGCCGAAGAAGCCGCTATCACTGCTGCTCAGGAAGCCAAGAGAGCCGCTTTCGCTGCTGGGGAATTAATGAAGAGCGCTAAAGAAGCTGCTTTAAAAGCGAGAAAAGCCATGAAGATAGTGACAAGCAACCTTTAGCATATCAGAAACTCCTTGAAATTAGTGTGAGAAGAAAGCATTAAATAATGAAATGAAAGGACAGGATGAATGTGATATCTGCTGTTAATCGATGAAAACAAATGGATCATCCAGAATAAACCACTTGAAGTGAACGAATTTAAAACGACTTTAAATAGAAAGCAAACCAATCCGTTCAAAAAGCATACGTGATGGCAATAAAATCCAATAGAGATCATTTGATAGCCAAAATAATTATCACATATTTAMCCTTTTACTTATATGTAATATTTGTGAATACATTTTTTAATCATTAAAGTATTTATTGAATATAAATGAATCCAATATCTCGTAGTAAAGGTTTTCAGAAAAAAAGAAGACATAGTAATAAAAGAGCTATATCGTTCGTGACTACCTTTTATTTATGATGTTCCTTTAAGATATGAACATGTCAAAGGAGTAGAATAACAAAAGATATTTGTATCCAGAACACACTCCTACTATACACGATGGAATCACGTTCCCGGTCTCGCGTACATAAAATAAATGAGAAAAACGCTCCACGACTCGAACATTTTACATTAAAAGTTAAGGCGACACAATCAAGAATTAATCAGTGTATTTCAATTACATAGCTCTAAGGCAGAGCTCTAATTGCTTTCCTATTTTATTCGCTCTTCCCTTAGATAATGTAAAATGAGCTAAGTAGGAATTCTATTCCCATCGCTATCTCAAAAGAAATAATATATAATGCTGCACAACACAGGGAACCAGCCACAGGCAAAACCCAGTTCAATCAATAGTGAATCGGTTCTGTTTTGGTTGTCAATTTCCTCTGTTTTCTCAACCAAGCCGCTGTTCATACTTTACACTCTAATGACCATTACGAGAAGTAAATGTACGCCTATTACTGCTAATAGAATTTGGGGTTTTTCGCTATTTAATCTATCTAACTTCATCGATTAACAATGAAACTTTCCCCTTTTTTTGTTATTTGGATCATTTTTGTTTATCGCCTAGAGTTTCCGATGTTAGAAAAACGTTTTTCAGTTTCCACGTAAACATCGACTMATTTTGCTCAAGGCTTAGTTTTAACATGTACAGTTTACATGAGGGCCAACATTAGCAGTGAACACACACTGAGAATTTTATAGTAAGCAACCAATACCAGTGGTTTTTATCGATATAGGAGCACGTTAAAATACGATTTTAAGAATGATAAATGGTGTTTGTGGCTTGCTCTGCCACCAGAAAGTCGATGTAGACGACAGTGGTGTTAACTTACGGCATATTCCTCTGATATAATATTATTACTAACATKACGATTAACAATATATTCAGGCGGGCAAATATACCGACTCTCACTGGAAGAAAATCAGTTCAATCTCGCTTGTTCTTCTAACAGTTTTGCTTGAGAGAATTATAATATACACACCAATTAAAGCAAACTAGTACGTGTATAATTAGTAAACAGGCTGAGATTCAAAAACAGTGGAAATAAGTGATATGTTTCACAACCAAACTCAACTTCACGACAAATGTATTTGCATCACGTCAATTACATTCTTCGATGAGGATTAAAAAGCTTTGTCAAATCCCTTGATGAAGGGATTAAACCAAAGTATCTTCTGTTTTTACAAATTTGATCAGTTTTTTGCTTRATGTCAAAGGATGCGTATCCGAGGAAGTCCACTTGAACTGTCTGAACCAATCAAATTCCAGGGATTCTACCCGGAGACAATGAAATCAGTACAGGGAGTGAGMTTTGAATGCCCGGATCTTATCATGTATTTTTGGTGTAATACACCACTACCGGAAGAAATGCTTCGTTAAGATCTTAATTTGACAGACACAGGTAGTTTGCGACCTTTTGAAATTTAAATTTGTAATCCATTTATTGACTAATTCAATGAGGATGAGGTGACGTCGGTTGTGAAAAGCGTAAAAGAACGAAAATGCTTGTCTCAAGAGATAAATTGCTAGGCACGAAACCAGCAACGGCTTGCCTATGAAACCTTTTGTGAAGAAACATCAAATACTTTTTAAATCATCGACCATTGAGAAGCATGTAAATTGTAGAAATATTTCCAATGATGGTCTGATTGCCTTGGTCTATTAACAACAAGTAAGGATTATGTTAGTGATTTATATTTTGCTTATTTGTTTCTAATCTGTCTCACTCTTAAGGTCCTCGACGAAAATGACGGCTGCCTTGAAGTACGAGGACATTCCTTTATTGCTGCTCTCCATTTTTGCAGTGCTGGCGAATATCTTCGTTTGCTTTCTTGTCCTGAACACTCGCCGACTACGTTCAGCTACTAACAAGTTCGTAGTATCTCTAGCCATCTCGGATATTCTCATAGCCGGTTTGTTGCTTCCTTTCATCCTTGCCAAAGTAGATGCAATAGTGATCGACTACATGGGTTCAATCTCTCTTTTGGCTGGGGTCGCCAACATTGCTGTTATTACCATCGACAGGTACATTGCAGTTTTCAATCCATTTAAGTATAACGCGATTATGCGTAAATGGTTAGTTAGGACCATCATATTGATCTGGACACTTAGCATTGTTATTTCCCTTTTGCCGTTGATTTGGAGTACTAACCAATCCTCCACACAGCATCATGTCTACATCTTCACTGTTCAAATTGGTCTCGTTATTTTATCTTATGCTCTCATTTTCATGGCGTATTACAAAATATTTCGCAAGGTGCGGCAAACCGTTAGGAAGGAACGAACTCTAATGATGTCACTGGCCGTTTCCCGAGGTCACGGCGGCAAACAGATCAAGGTATGCCCTAGCGCATCAGAATCTAAAGTGACCCGCGTATCAGTCATTATCGCCCTTAACTTCATGTTGACTTGGTTGCCTGTGGAGTATATGACGCTGGTGCATACTGTGGGAATGCCTGGTCTAATTCCTCTACCCTTACCAAAAATATCTCTGTTTACTATCGCTTTGGGAGCCTTGATAGACCCTGTGGTGTATTCCTACCTCAAAGCCGACTTCAGGCATGCTATAAAGCGTATGTTCAAAAAATTCAGAAGGTATGCTAACAGCGATCAGGGCGAAACAAGCGCCAGCCAAAGCATGATGGGTGGTTATAAATACCGTGTAGGTGGCTATAACTCTACTAACGTCTAAACTTGGAAACCATCACTTTGATTTTTGCGTTTGTAATGTTTTCATAGAATAGAAAAATTGCCTTTAACGTATCCTTTCAAGTTCCTAAAAAAAGACGACTGAAAGCAAGAAAATTGGAGTCGACATTGGTAGAAGCGTATCATTCACCTTCAGGCTTTAACAACAATATGTCAGAACGTGAAGCCGGAAGGCCATAAGTCAGAAAAAACACAAATGATTGAGAAAGGAAAACATCGTTATAATAGTTTGACTAGAGGCTAATGTCATTTGCGTAACGGCGGCTTTCTGGCATGAATATTTGATGCAACTGAATAAAAATCCTCGTGGCTTGTATGACAAAAAAATGCACAGAGAAGAGAAACAAATAAATAACAGGAAAAAAAGACAAGAATATTCTAAAGACAAGATTATTTCATAGGCGAGGAGTACGAAATAACAACAAAGACTTCTGAGGAGAACACTSGAAAARTTATATTAATCATTACAACACCAGGCGGAAATTTCAAACCAAAGCACAGAATATTTTCAATACAGAAATAATAAACTGATGAAACTCCAATGTGTTGTGTCCATGGGAAGTGTCGAGTAACGAGTAAATCAGCTTGTATGTATACAGGCATATGGATTATAACCCTCGACTACATGCGTAATAATTGCAAACTTTTGCCAAAGGAGTTACAAAATGATAGAAAAAGCCAGGACCTAACATAAAGACAAAGTATATACAAATAGAAAAGATAGACAACAGTCGGCACGAAAACACTCCTAAGTGACTTCTTAAAGTATTAATGTCGCCCTGAAGACTAGAAACTATAATAGACTTCCGCCAATAATTGCAAATATTGATACATGGAATACTCACAAAAAACACAGGTAAACTGTCCACTACAATACCGCCTTGGGGCTAAACTAAGATATATCAGAGCTAATAAGCTGTACATATCCGTTCAACAGGTTAAATACAAAAAAAAAATGAAATAAATATTTAATGTTGAAAGTCTGTCATGCATATGCCCGCCCTTTAATAATTCAATTAGTTTCTATTTAAAGATGTTATTAGAGTGCAGAAGGACTTCCTTAAACAGCAAATCTATGACTGAACTGTCATCCGGTTTTTGCGAGGGAGGTTTTGCCACAGCCTTAAGAGCTTACTACAACGTTCCAAGGTTCCAACGCTATTGTAAATGTTTTCTTGGATGCTTTAAGCCGAAACGGCACGATTTTGTGTCCATATTTTGGGTTGTTTTAACAATTGTCATCCGTAATCTCTTTCAATAAATGGATGCCTAAGCATTTTCACTAAAATACTGAATTGAACTCACAAATCGCACTGCAGGTGCGCGGTCGCAGGAAATATAGCAGTGTGAAAAGAAGGAACATACAAATGGCTTCCTCAACGGAAACTTAGGGAAGCTAAAATGAAAAATATATATATTAAAGACAAAAAAATAAAGCGACACAAGAAGCATTGTGTTTTCTGAACGGTGTCTGAGAATAATCCATAATTCAAATAGGGAAAAACACGATACCGTTCTCATGACTTGGACCAAAATAGGCAGCTATTAGTCTCACTAACCTTTCACTGTCAAATGATTRTAGGGAGAAAGCACTATAAAACTTCTAAATAACTTAGTAGACATGTTAGCAGAATATGATATACAATTATTGTACTAATGCAATTGTAGAGTACAAACATTAAATGTGTGCAACACTTTCCACTATTTACTACAAAACAGTGTTAATCCCAAAAATGAGGGTCACCTGACCTGTGATTTTTCGCAATATTTGTTAAAATTGCGGGTTAGGGCTAACACATACTTAGGGTTAGGACTGTTTTCTTAGACTTAGGGTTAAGAATTGGGTTAGGGTTAGCCTTGTGCTAGGTCTACATGGGGGCTTTGGGATTTGACCTAGTCGATTGGGATTGTATATCAGAATATGATATACAATTATTGTACTAATGCAATTGTAGAGTACAAACATTAAATGTGTGCAACACTTTCCACTATTTACTACAAAACAGTGTTAATCCCAAAAATGAGGGTCACCTGACCTGTGATTTTTCGCAATATTTGTTAAAATTGCGGGTTAGGGCTAACACATACTTAGGGTTAGGACTGTTTTCTTAGACTTAGGGTTAAGAATTGGCTTAGGGTTAGCCTTGTGCTAGGTCTACATGGGGGCTTTGGGATTTGACCTATGACGATTTTGTTTAGATAGAAACTTCATTAAATGTGTATTTATTTGCTGGTTTTCGTACTTTAAAGACTTCAAAAAGTTAAAGAACTAAAATTGTAAACTTAAAAGTAAACTTGGATTGTTGCTGTTTTCTCCCATGTATTTACGCCAAATCGCGATTGTAATCAGTCGATCGATTTACTTGTGCTTCTTCATTTTCACATTGCTTTAGTGTAAAAATGTGATCTTGATTTGATAAAGATCAGCCATCGACGGATTTATTTATATTTATCATCTCGAGCCCTAGAATGATCTGGCGTACGACTTCCATATATGGTTGTGCATATACACAACACTGATGTAACACAAAGGCTGTCATTTTCCTTTTGTGCAAAGAAATAAAAAATGACTTGAACTTAAACTGAAAAGAAATTTTTCAAGGACGAAAATTAAGATTCGAACCAGCGCTATACATTGCCTAACCCTATACTTTACCCAAAGGAATTGATTTTTTATTTGAATTTGGCCTTTGAAAGTAGTTTTTTTTATTCGGTAGAATAAAAACATACAACATAAAACTCAACAAATAAATGTACATTTTGAAAAAAAAACGTGTTTTTAGCATAGGCATTGTTTTGAGCTGTTGGTATGTGGCTGCCCAGCAAGTGACGAAGTCCTGTAAATGACCAATTGCAGGGACTTTCCCTCAATCCCAAATTGCATTCCTTCGAGCGACTTCCAAACCATATATATGTGCTCTTTCTCGAACGACCTTGCTAGCCTAGAAAAAAGCCAACAGCTTTTTAAAGATATTAACTTTATAAGCCCTGTTATCATTAGACAAAATACCGGCTTCTGATTCGTCTCTTCCATGCACGACTTCTTCATATTCCTCTGCCTTTACAATCCATTACACTGGAAAAAATCGCGCGCTTTAAAGGTTGTAAATTTGATGTATATATGATGTAAGTGTCCAAAATGATGTAAATTTGATGTAAATCATTTCCATCAAAATTACATCATTTTGGACACTTACATCATATTTCCATCAAATTTACAACCTTTATGGCGCGCGATTTTTTCCAGTGTTAAATTTTACTAAAAAATACCTCATACAATGATATTACAAAATCAAACATTATCAGAAGTACATAACTTCTGACATTATTCTTAACGCCATCTGTTCAATTTGGTCAAACATGCATTTTCCTCCACGCTTTTTACAAAATATTTAAAATATAAACTTACAAAGTTTTAATTATGGTTCAATTAATATTAGTTATGTTTTAAACTACACATAAACGAAAGATTGTCTCAGAACAAATATTTAATCTAGTGTCTTCGTTTTGTTAACTGACATAATCAAAGCAGTGTTTCTGCATCCAACATCGCAAAATACACTACAGAAGGTGAACGACAATATGGCGTCACAAACTACGGGAGCAAAAAATCTATCAAATAAGTGAAGAAATTGGCGGATCATTGCGTATGGAAACCTTTGGACGTAAATGTGATGTTCTTTCTGAAATGTATCCATAAATATCAATAAAGAACGGATAACGTCAGTCAGAACTATAATTGAGCCTAAAAGTTTTATTGTAGAAATCTTCTTGCTCTTCTAGTATAATAGGTTGAACATCAATGATAAGAAATTATGGTAGCCGATATCATACATTGGTGGTGTTCAGGCCATTTAAGAAAATAAAGGTAATCGCTTCATCGTCCATTTTCTTTTTCCTGTTTTTGTGTATTTGGCGAGATAAGACACGCATCGCTGCGTCGGTGAATTGCTTTCACAGCTCTGCATCCGAGGGAAAATCACCGTGATTTGTCCTTGTAATAACATACTTTACAATTTGTGAAGCTCTACTTTCAGCTCTTCGATATCCCTCAGCATTCGCCGTTCCTCGTCTGGTTCTCGACACTGCTGAAGCCATTCGTAGACTTGTCTTAAAATGTATTCTTTTTGGAGTCGAAAATGAGTAAGGACAACATCTTCAAAACCTGCAATAATGTTAAAAAACTATGTTTTCGTTTGTTTTGCTGACGAAGTGTTTTGTTTTGTTTTGTTTTGTAACACTGTCTTGAATATGCCCACTTAGGACAAAAGCTCGGGCAAATATAGTGAAATTAGTCTAGAATGATGCATCTACCATGATGTTACTTATAAATGRTTGAGCCATTGTTTCATTTTCTTAGAAAAAAAAAAAGAAATGCATGTTGTTCTATCTTGTTTTAAATGCGCTGCAAGTTACTTGCAGTTTTCGTGTGTTCTTAGTATTGTTACCTGCAGGAGGATATCGTATTTGCGCTAAGATGGCGTGACGGATTGTAGCGAGACGAATTGTAGCGTTGTATTTGTGTGACAGTTCCTATGTAGATAAAACAGAATGCAATAAATAAGAGTKCCTATAAAAATTATTGACCAAGCTGTTATGATAGCAAACAACCGCCCTACACCKTTGAAAAGCTTTTTTMCTGCTACATATTAYATAGCGTGTATGAAATAATCAGTAACAAGGTAGATGGTAAYCGTCTTGTTAGGCTGTGGTAACGTCAGGTTTGTTTCTTACAACCATCTTGCCTTTAATGCCCAATGAGTCCGCATTCGAAAACTCGACGTAAATATGAATTAATGAAATACATCAAACTGAGATAGATTTTATCATTTGAAAAATCAGTAGATAAATAATAACTGATGGAATATTCGTTAAAAAGCGATGATTTCGGATAAATCACCTACTCTGAATCGACATTTGCGTACAAAACTGATATGGTAAAAAGTGATCATATCTTAATATCTCATTGCCGCTTCAATCGCCTTATGAGATTGCGATAAGATGACTTACATTTCCATCATCTGTGCCTCGAATGCTTTCATAGCCAGGTTCGTTAAAACAAGGATCAGGAATTAATATCATTCCTTGGATCGATAGAAGAACCTGCAATACCCAAACATCATTATCAATCGAATTATTTGTTAGTAACATGGACAATGTAACACTTCAACTGATTTACATATTATCGAATCGATCCAATTTGATTCACGATTTATTCAAATATCAGCAATATTCACTTCTGTTATGAAATGTCTGTGTCATCAAGACTCAAAAGCCGTTTGCAATAGTGCCTTTTTGGCTCATCTTAAAATAGAGAATAGGAACAATCATAGATCGAATGTGCTTTATCGGTGTTTTTTTTAGCCAAAACAAGAACGGATCCCTCTACATGGTCGATTATCGTACGACCATTCTCGAATCCACATTCTTCCCGGTCTTTTGTCAGCGGTATGCTGGATGGTAATAGGTTTGGCTCTGGGTACGAGATTGTCATACGAATACGTATTTGTACCCGCGCACTCTATCATAAGAAAGCCTTTGGAAAATGGTAATATGCGCTCACAAAATGTTTTAACTAGTTGGCCGATTTTTGATAAAACGACAATCCGCTTGATCTGACACTCCAATTCTGGACAAAAAGAGTTAAGAATGTTTTAAAAATCCGGCTGAATGTTGGAAAGTCTCCGTGTACTTTCTATTTTTCCTGCCCTCCCTCTGGCCCCCTTCGCTCGAAGTTGTACTTTAGAGAGCACTCATAGCTACTGGATTCTGTTTGTGTGCTAACAATACTGTATTCGGGGAGGGGAGGGGGGTATAGAGGATGTTTTGTTGAACTGACCTGAACGGTGCAATTATTCTCAACCTTTTTGTCCAGGATTGTCGATCCACCGATCGATCTCAGTGCATCTCAATTTTCTAGCTGAACAGTAACAATGAACTTGATCTCGCAGGATAAGKACTTTTCTAATATTCGATATGAGGAAAAAGGGGCATAGAAACTGGACGTAAGTCCCATGTAAAGCAAGTAATGTATAAAAATGTATTAGTACACAAATGATACTTATTTTTATCCATTTCACATTACCTGATACAAAGAAGAGGTTTTGGGATTCCACTTTTCACTTGAGTCACCACCATGCCACGTACCAAGTAAACTTAYACATACCTAAAACATACACAGGTATAGATATAGTTTATAGTCAGTCAGTCAATACGTAGCCACCGATACTCGACGCCGTCTAAACCAGAGTTCCTCCTATCAGAGGTTACGAAAGAATTTTACCAAAGAATCCGATCCAAGAAAAAAACATGTTACATGTATATTTGTTATTATATTTTTTATCTCATTTCTGCACTGATAAATATTTGTGTGACAGCGAAGTCAAAACCCATGAAACAAAATTTTGAGACACAAAAAATAAGTTCATCGAGATTACTCATAAGTGTACCTAACAAATGATATATCTTACTCTGAAATTCTTTCCAGTAAAATTTATTGTAAAACTCATGAATAATTAACGGAACACAATAGAAATCACAACCGTGAAGAGTGTTGTAAACTATACATATAACACGGCCGCTCATGTTGTAAACATTACTTATATATATTATATATTTCACTATAGAAATCACAACACAATAGAAATCACAACCGTGAAGAGTGTTGTAAACTATACATATAACACGGCCGCTCATGTTGTAAACATTACTTATATATATTATATATTTCACTCTCTATACAATGACCAAAAAAATCTGCAACTTTTAATATATATATGTCTTTAGTTCTTGAGAGATTAAACAATAGGGAAACAAAAATGTATATATATATTGAAAGTTGCTGAATTTTTTTGGTTAGGTGTATATTATTTATATTATATATATATATCTTCAAACTTTATGCTATTTCAATTGATAAGAACAAACTTTGTCGTCATATCGTTTGTACTGAAATATATCAGTAAATGAAATATTAGCTAAAAGATAGTTAATTTAACCGCGTTTTGACCGAACTTTGTTGGAAAGTCCTGTGCCTGCAATTTTGTTCGTGATAAATTTGACATTGAAGACTTAATAGCAGCAGCCATGCAAATATGCCATTATATGGTCTGCACAGTCAATCAATCTGTCAATCAATCTGTCAATCAGTCAGTAATTCAATCKATCGATCAAACAATCAATCAATCATTTGTTGCTATTTTTAATATGTACTTTACCTTTCCATCAGCATACAAGTTTGGATTAAATCTGTCAAAAAAAAAGAAAAGAAAGAGTAAGGATTTTTTGACTCGCAATCAAAAGGAGATGTCTATCCCTTGTCCAATCTACGCCCCTTAGTGCTCCAAGTGTACGTGACACTATGTTGGATCTACTATCACTGCAAACAAATAATTTGTTCGATCGATGTTGGCTCAAATTTTTGCAATCATTAAAATTCATAAAAATATCGCAAAAATGGCGCCAAGAATACGTCCAAGAATGTTCAATGTTGTTCCTCCAAAATGTTGGCTTCCGTCGGGATTAACAAACGAATTCATACAAACGACTCCAAAGTAAATGCCGTCTCAATAAATGTTACTTTATAGATACAAGCATAGTACATACTCCATTTCAAGTAAAGAGCGTTTAGGCAATTTCCCATGGACCGGAATACAATATCATAGTGTATTGTGGAATAGCTTTAGTACAAACAATGCCATATTTGGCAGAATGAACAAAAGATATTTGCCGAATCTAAACGACAATGCAATGCAAACTGCTATCTCAGAAAATACAAACATCACATACCTGACAGTACCGTTACCAGTTGTAATCAGCTTGACCAGCGGTGGTACATTAGGATAATTAGATGGAAAATACACATCAAAAACAAAACATCCMCGACTGTATGGAGTATCTACTGGACCAGTTATCAGTGTACGAGCAAAGTCCATTCGTTCTTCATCCTACAATTAATAAATGCAATATATCACGACAAGGTAAAAGAAAGCTTGTCTCATTTAACCCTTTTCCTTCCAAAATTCTGGGSAAATTTCAAAGGCTTTAAAGATAAAAASCTTTAAAATGATTACGGCAAGAACAAGAGCCCCTAGACTACTATTATTAAGCTTGGCTAGGCGGCAGAGGTGCTCTTCTGGAAGAAATCAGAGATGAGAAGCGATCGTCAGTTCGTTTGAAGCCGATGGCGCCATTGGAGTGAAATCGACTCCCTGGCTGACTTGTGTTTGGCTTCGCGACCTACAATGCTAATTTTGGCAAGTTTGGACTTCTAAAAAAAGCAATCGGCTGAACATTTTGTGTGTAGGAGCGAATAAAAAAAATATTGAAAATGTAGTATACGGAATAATCCCTGTCGAAAAAATACGCTGTTACCCATAAATCTTTACGAGTGCAATTTAAAGTAGAAAGGCCAGATTTCTTGAAAAAGTTGAGTTTCGGCATGAATGTAAGGACTTTGAGCAGACACAGTATAAAGATTCAAGCCGACGGCGAATAGGTAAATCTTTATACAGTTGAGTTGYCTCTCTTTGAACGACCACTCTCGTAAGCGACCATACCCGTATGCGACCACCTTTTGAATTTCCCGTTATAATTGTTTCCCATATAAACTCTGTAAAAAAAAAAACTCTCTTGTAAGCGACCATCTCTCGTAAGCGACCACTTTTTCCTGATCCCGAGGTGGTTGCTGACTGTACTTGATAAAACACGATAAGGCTTACAAAACTTCAACAATAATTTGATTCAATTCCTGTTGGGGACACCATATCTGTTCCACCTTGCTTCGAGTTTGCTTTTTTACCTGATGTGTACAGTGAAAAGCCTGGTTTGTGGACTGTCCAATTTAACACAAAAAGAGAATGTACGGTCATTTCTTAAGAGAGAGTTCAACAAAATGTGACTCAAGATCGTGGTTTATCGGCTACAGTCATTTGCAAAAATTCTGAAKCCTGTGAAACATATCATAAAATAAGTTGCATTATGTGATATCTTTACTCGCTCAAAAAATCGTAACTAATTCGAATACTTTGGAATTATGCTTAATAAGCGTTATCAAAATATAATTCCTTTTATTTAAGCAATAAACGATAGCTTGAAGGGGTTTACTGGCAAAATAAACCGTGAGGGATGGTTTAGGCTCAGTCTCCAGCCGTCGGGATTTCGTGCGCCCGCGATACTCTCTCCCCTGACGGCTGGGCGCATGGGGTTCGAAACGTGTCGCGCATGTCCGTGACGTTTTTGTGTAATTAGCATATTATGACGTAACGGAAGTGAATTTTTCAGTGAACGGAAGTGAAATATATACAACAGCCGTAATAAGGTTTTGCTACAAGGCGGGAAATTATGTGAAATGAATACTTCGCGAAGTAGCGATATAATGTAATAGTTAGCGCTTTAAAAAAAGAGAAAGGAATGGAAATTACCCCAAGTAAAACATGTGTAGGGTTTAATAATCCAAATGGATGTATTATCTGCCAGAGAAACGNAAGAGATTTGCCCGAGCCAGTATAGGAAGAATAACAAGGACATCTTTTCCAAGAACAATCTCTTTAAGAGCCTTTTGCTGTATTTCTCTAAATTCGTCCAAGCTAAACGACTTCAGAGCCTTCAAACAAGCACTTTCAAAGAGAATCTCAAACGACGAATTGTACGCCATTTTGTTACACTGCTGCCTGCTAATTTATTAATGATATGCCCCTGAAAATATCGGGGGCCACTCGCTGATTGGTCAAGACTGACAATAGCGAACCCCATGCGCCCAGCCGTCAGGGGAGAGAGTATCGCGGGCGCACGAAATCCCGACGGCTGGAGACTGAGTCTAGGGATGGTTAGGAGAACACGAGAAAAGATCAGCAAATCACGAGCCGTCAGTGCTTTTATATTATAGCCGGCGTCCGCCATTTAGACGACTCAAAAGTCTTTCAAGACAGCAGGCTGGTTTACCGGTGAAATAAACCATAGCTTTTCTCATGAAATCCGCCAATCAGCGCGCGTGTTAGAATTGAGCTATTCTTCGTGTGCAATCACATGACTTGGAATCCCCTGAGAAATAAACAACAAAGCAATCGCCGCCGTGTTGGATGAATGAACAAGAGAAACTAATGAGGAATGCTTTGTGATCTTCATCCAACATGGCGGTGATAACGTAACTTGCACGCCAAGAATAATATAAATTGATATAAGTTAGCATTTCCACAACTGATATGCTAAAATTCGAGCTGATTGATAAAACGTTCGTTTTTTATAAGTTATAGCATGGCTCTGAGGGAGATTAGGGATTAAATGTCCCCGAAGCCGAGGGCAGATAAGTTGAAGTTGACTTTTACTTATCTGCCCGAGGCTGAGGGACATTTAATCCCTAATCTCCCGAGGAAGCCATGCTATTACTTTGTAATACCATTATTTCCGAGGAAAAAAATGAAGTTGAACTTGAGCGAATTTGAATTCTTGTTTTTTTGCATGCTCCAATGTTTTTAATCAGAAGTAATAAAAACATTGGYACAAACGCCTGCTTCACGCATGAATTGGAATGTGACATGAACAAGAATGGATACGCACTGTTCTYAGAGTAGCAAAGTACTTTATCAAACATTAAAATTCATTAAAGTGCACATGCTCAGCGGTACGAAGTAGAGACTCGGWACCAGAGCTACTCGGTCAAATTGGCCCAAAAATCATCCCACATTTCAGTGTGACTGAGACGATAACCAGACCGTTCATTGCAGAAGTAAAAAGAAGACAGCTGTAGGGACATTCAGTTGTCCCTGCTGGGAAGCAAAGGTTTCCTTTGCCTTCCGTTCCTCATGAATAACATGAGGGACGATTACTGGTAATCGTCCCTCATGTTATTACGCATGAGGGACGATTACTAGTACGCTTGTAAACATCCCTCGGAAGACAAAAGAATCCGAGGTGATCATGGTATTACTAAACTAACCAACTAACCCAAGCAAGARTAAAGACCACTCGAAGAGTTTTCGATCTACTCTCTTCATCATTTACCATTCCACTTTTTTCGTTCCCTCCTTATTCGCTTCTAACAGTGGCCTTTTGTTGTTGCATCTCAATGAAAACAATCAAATGCATGAGAGAAAAGAAGACAAAAGCATTACCTGTCTTACAAATATCGACGAGTTGGCATGTATAGGAAGACAGTCTTTGAGCTGTGTTATCTCACGCATCAACGCCCGGATCTTTGAGCATCTTAAATCGTAATGAAAAATCTAGCGTGAGTGATTAGTTGACCACAATATGGGGCTATTGGTATCTACTTGCTATCATCTTAGGATACAATGCCTTAATTGGGACATGATATCAAATTAGTTCTGATACTCTTCATTAGAGTGCAAACATCATAGCCATACGAAATTGTGGTCTAACTTCAGTTCAAACAATGTCATATATTTGWCTTCAGAAACAAAAGACTTTTGTACCTAATCTAGACCGCAATGCAATGCGCTATGTTATTTCAGAAAAGACTTATGACAAAACTTTACTAAATATTTTTCAAAAAATCTCTGTAAAGAGATTCAAGGATAGATGCATATCTTRCTGATTGTCAAATTCCACGCTGAATACTCCAATTTCGAGTTCTGGTTTGCTCTGTGTTAGCCTCAAAACCAAGTAACATATTCTTTTGTTTCATTGATAGCTCGAAAAAACGCATGGAGTTTGTGAAGAAACACAATAAATTTGATTTGAAATCTCACACTTCTACGCTCACAATAAGGAATATTTTGCGCACAAATGAGGCTAACACAGAGCATTGGAGAATTCGAAACTGGAGTATTTCTTAATGAAACTGCTTCGCTCTCTTGAAGGATCACTTGATACTCCTTCCGCGTTATTGTATGTTTGTTCGCAGTTCTTCTTTGTCTAAGGTGGTATGATACCCAAGATAACAATAATWTCAAGGAAAAGACTTAGCCATTTTATTACTTCACATATAATCARCCTTATTGAGACAAATCATTTGGTACCAATTTTCGCACTTGGTATTGCTATGGCAACCAAGCCACACCCAAAATACATGATTATAAGGCACTTACTGTAACAGCTCTAGCTCTGAAACTATAATTAGAATACAATCCAAACTAAGAATATTCATTGCTAATATCTCAATGTATGCAATGAACCTAAAATTGTTATCAACTGGTAAATAATTTTGTCAATTTACTTCAAAATTGTAGTTTTTTGGGTATCATACCACCCTAAATGAATGTCCCTTTTCGGTAAATGGGCAGCAAAAGGTGTACAAATTAATACCACTGGTTCGTCGTGATATTCAGCCTCAGMCTTAGGAGGTTTAGTGAAAGTCTCCCTCYCTTTCGGGGTCAGTCAGAMTCATGATATTACTTATAATTACTAAATWTAGTTGTCTGTTCTTTATTTGCTCGCCTTTGAGCTTGTATATTAAAGAATAAGTCGCTAGGTTTGTATCAGACTGTACCATGTCCTTTACTGATTACCTTTGATTGACTGGTTGCGAACGAAAAGACTGAAACGCCGTTACCTCCTGKAAAACGATCAATCTCATTAATTCCAACATAACCAMTGATTCTTAACAACGACTCAAACAGAACGCAAATCTGAKAGTGAATTGGGAAAGAAAAATGACAAAACTTCTAACAACAGCCTTACCAGCAACTGACAAGTTCCGTGTCGCTCATCGTTAAATTTCTCCACGTACAATCTTTCAAATTCTTCATCGTCTTGTTCGGATGGGTTTTTTTCTGGAGGCGTCTGATCACGTGACGATTCGCTAAGTTCCATTTCTTCATGAAGTTCACACTGGTAAATACAAAATAAACATTMTCCCAAAGACTTCTATATTCGATGTATTAAGAGTTGCTCCGGTTTAGATGTATAATAATTTAATTGTACATCTTATTATAAAAACGTTGTRTAGAGATTTAGGAAATACATTTTAAAAGACAACGTACATGTACGCTTAACTTTTCTTTTGCATTTTAAGTAATTTTAAGTAATAGCATAGTTTTAGTTAAAACTATGGTAATAGCAAAACAACATTTCGCACCATTTTCGGTTTTGAACATTTCAGTGATGTAAGGAGACATTATGAGGATATAAAGAAACAAATGTCTTAACTTTGATCTGGATCTAGGGTGGAATTTGTCAAAATCGAAAMGAASAAGAACAGTATTAAATAAAAAAATGAAAAATTGAAGCTATTACATAATGTAATTATAAAACGCCATTTACCCGATTAATAAAAACTTCAAGTTCTGCTATGGTTTCTGGGGACACAAGGTCGTGCCGCGTGAGAGTTCTCACAGCTTGTTCCACGATAGGTTTGCTYAAGTCAGGATCTGTCGCCATATCACGGCCAAACTGACGTTCAACTGTCTTGTGATCTGAGCTAGCAATACAGGAGAACACTGTGGAGAGCTTTCCTAATAGGTCACGTGGATTGAAAGAATACCTAAATAACAGACGAATTAATATAAAATTGTGTGAAATAACGCTGAAGAGGAAACATGGATGACCCTGTTTATTGGACAAAGGGGACGAGAAAGACAAAAGGAAGGGACTGACATAAATACTTACCTTTCCATGTTTTTCACTTTAAGATCAACCCTTCTCGGTCCACACAAAGAGTTAAGGAACCCGATMATCTAGTTTTAACACCAAAACAATTAAAGAGGATTATTTCAAGAATGGATAATTGATGTCAACATACCGCTGATGCTGCTCGSTGGGATAAAGGTTTTCGACAGAAGCAACGAGCTACTTCAGACTCTTGTGTAATCAAAGCCAAGAAASTTAAAGTTGTATTTGCCTACAACACAATGTATCAGTTAGTCCATCAGTAAYCTTCATGCTGAGAATTTCTTGRAYTTTTTTTTGCACTTTTTAAGTTGTCACTGGAAATCTTGACGKATACCGATCCATTGCAKATTTTAACTTGTTGAATAGATTGATTATTAAAAMAAATGGAGTAAATGAAAGGATGTCAAAATGCATGGACAGCYTTTGGCTTCCTCACATACCATCAGCATGAACGACTTGGACACGTGTTCCTCGTTTTTCAAAAATGTTGTTTTTTGCTTTTGTTCTTGCAAGTCCATCTCCTCCCACTTTGACTCTACAAATTATACATATTACCAAGCAAGTTTAATCTTATAACCATCCAATAATACTTTAATATATTGAGTTTTTGAATAACACTCGTTAGACAAGTCTTGTAACTGAGGAGGTTTTCAATAAAACGAAACTAGTTCATACAGACAATACAAACTGATTTTGTGCGTCAAGACCAAATGAAATCAAGATGAAATTAATTCACCCAATAATATCAATAAAGAAATAAAGCCAAGTACATCTTGTGTGAGTAAATGATCGGAACCGACGGTAAGAACCATGACCGTGCTTATCGTCGTTTGTATTTCTCGTACCCGGCCAGTTTCAGATATGACTGCAGTAGTTTTATGACCGACTTACCATCTTCGATGGACTTTTGCAATTTGCTGACGTTYGCCAAACGCGACAAACCATCATTCAACAAGTAAAGTAAACTGTCGAGAACTGAACTTAGAAATCCCTGTAATTAAAAGATTTTATCACACGAKAAAATTCAGGGGCGGTTRCAGGGAGGGTGGATTGGATTTCACATGAARTATGAATGTTCTTACATCTACTTCGCTGTTTTCGCATTTTTTCTTCAGCACAGCTCTACTTTCTGGATACTTCCACAAAAATTGAAGAAGCTTTATCACTTCTGATCTGAAAATCGCACAGTATCACAACGTAAGGTAAAGGCTGTCTTCCTAGTTTACTCTAGTTTACTCTATTTTTCTACCAGTTAATTATGTATCTAGTCCAGGGATTTTCATGTTGAACACGAAATGTGATAGGCTAAAAGCTGACATCGCTAGATAATTAGAAGACAACCAAGAATGCGTTGTAAAGATTTATCACTGACAATAAACAAAGCAAACGGATTATTTAAGAATAGATAAAGATAA